TTAGCTCCAAAAATCCATCTTAAAATAGATTTTTAAGAGGTGACTAATTTCTACATGTACTCAAGAAACCGTGACCTTATCAAAACGAGTGATCACTTTAATTCTCTTCACCCATAACTGTGGGTATATTTTGAGAAGGAAAAAAGTTTGTGATCACTTTAATTCTCTTCACCCATACCGTGGGGGTATTTTGAGAAGGAAAAAAGTTTATATACAGCCGAGGCTCTAAACAATTAAATTAGAGCTTACCTAAAATTTTTACTATAAGAGTTTGTTTTGATGCCTAAATATCATCAAATTGATCATCTCGACATCAAGATGCATAGACATGAAAAAAAAAAAAATGGATTTAAAATTTCGAAAATAGTGCATCTTGTAATACATTTTGGATCATCAATTTTCAAGATTTTCATAAATATGTTCAATCTATACTATTTTTGAAACTTTTAATTATATAATTAAAGATTTAAATATATTTAAAGCTATCACAAAGTTTTTTTTCCGTTTTTTTGACGTAATTATGAAGATTACAAACCCCTAACTGTTTTCTAAATCATTAGTAGTTTTTGAAAACGTCTAGTGATAATAGAAGCCTTGAAACCAACACGACCCCAACCCCAACCCCATTATCAGCTATCACAAAGATTTTCAATATAAAAACCACATTTCTCGATACTATTTGAAGGAGGGCTCTAATTTGATTGTTTAGAGCCTCTATACAAACCGCACCCTACAACACGGAGACACCGAGAAATTCACCTACTCTTGAAAAGTGAAATGTTTTATGACCCAGCGGGAGCCCATCGCTCAATTGCTTTCACGTAAGTGCGAACTTGCGGTACATTATGCTAAAGTTTAGGGATATATTGAGTTTGGGAATATAATGTATTTAATCCGGGGAAAAATGGTTTCATAGGGCCGTAGGGCTATCAAATAAAGTAAAGCCTCATTGTATCACTCATCAAAAATTGCAATTCAAGCATTAGAAAACCTTTACATCGGTCATCTCCGCTTGAATTCTATGATTATGAAAAAAAATTAGGATTTCAAGCTTTAAAAACAATGTATATTGTAACAAAATTATCTATACCATATCACTGTAAAAATAAGTGTACAACGATTCGCATGATCAAAATTAGGATTGCAAGCTTTTAAAACAATTTATTTAAACAAAATTATCTAGACCATCCATAGCCCTAAAAATCAGTGTACAAATATTCCATAGCCCTAAAAATCAATGTACAAATATTTGCATAATCTTTACCATTTAAAGAGTTCCGAATTTTATTGTCTGAAAATTGATTTTAGAACCATCATGGAAATTAGTGCATCTGTGAACAAGGTGTCAACCTTATATAAACTTTTTCTACATGTGTCAAACCTTATATAAACTTTTTCTATCCTAAAAATTAGTGCATCCTGTGAACAAGGTATCTAGACTATCTATTTTTCAAGATTTTCACATATTCATAGATCTGCTAGATCCATATAGCTTATGAAGTTTAAATTTCATAACTATGGTAGAAAAACAGGATTTTCAAACCATCTATTTGGTTTCCAACACCAAAACTATCTCCATAGCACAATTTAGAGAGGCGCATTACTTCTATGGTATAAAGAGGGAGAGCACCTCATATAAGCATCACCCTTTTTGAGAAGGCCATACATCATTCTGTTCTCAACATCTCTCCCATGGAAGTTTCTAGTACGCATCCATTCAAGAACAAAAAGTGGGAGAGCAATCAGTCCTCACGCCACTGCTTTTGGCAAGACGAATTGGCACACATGTAGAATGTGGTCATGGGTTCATCTGCTGATCGTATTTGCATTTGAAAGTAATATGCTTGCCCAAAACAGCATCTTGGACAGGTAGCTGCCAATGATACACAGAAAACATCAGATGATGTCCAAGAGACAAGAGGGACTTGTGATGCCAAAAAGAGAAGTAACATTAGAGAGAGAGAGGAGTTTAGAGGGTAAATATAAGATAAAACATCAAAGAGAGTGAAAGTTTGGGAGGTTGATTCTAGTGTTTCAAGCTTCAAACTTTCAACAAAATGTTAATTTAGATATTCTAGAATGTCATATTCCAACCTAACAAAACACCATGAGTTTGATTGTTAAAAAAAATAAGGGAAATGTGAGACCAAATTTTGCATAAATTCTAAAATTCCAATACTTGAAAACCCTTTAATTTCAGATCCAATCCTCATAGAGAATCCTATCGCCCTACGACACTCAATCCACAAGACCCTCATTTATTCAATAAAGAAACAATTCTGACATAAATATACAAACCTTCAGTTTTAGGAGCACTTTTAATGGCTTCATCAGCACTGAATATGGGTTCTACTTCTTTGTTCTGCAATGGAACTTTCTTACTAATCTGCAAACAAAAATCCAACAAGTTGGTCTTCCTAAACAAAATCTTGAAATGTAAAAGAAACAGAAATTAGGGTTTCCAATCAAGCTTTTATAACAAGGACTTATTTGTTTACCTTTCTCTGGATGGGATAGACATATGGGCAGGTGGGACATCTTAACCAGACACGCTTGCCGCCAGTATCAAGCTCAAGTATCATACCACAGTCGGGGCAAAACTCCAAGCCCATTGCATAAACCAACTTTTGGAATCCTAGATGGACGACCCAGATAAGAGCCTTCTAAATTGAATATTGAGGTTTCCCTTCCAATCTTGTACCTTTTCAAAGCTTTTAGTGTCCCAATGATCTAACATTTGCTTAATGAACTGAAAAAAAAAATTAGTAAGCAGGGTTGCAAAAAAATTTAATTAGAAAAAGTCAAACACAGTCAAAATTTATTGTAAAGAAGCCCAAACATACACATCTAGTTACCAAATTATGCTTCAGTTATTTTCACAGAAAATCTGCTTCTAATATTTTTACAAGCAGCCAAATACTTTACCAACATAATCAAAGAAAATGATAGGGTTTTTCAATTTAGGGTGAAAATAGTACAAGTTTTTTCAATTTGGATGCTTTTTTGCTAGACATCTAAACTGACACTTGTAACTCTCATTAATAATTAAAATCAAATGAAACTAAAAATATTATTTAGTGAAAAAGATAGTTTTCATAGTGTTCAGTTACTTGGACTCACCCAAGGACTAGACAAGGGCCCGAAGCAAGTCGGCTCAACGAGTCCCAATTGGAGTCACTAAGTTCTGTTGCGATGGATAAGTTGCCTTAAAAAAATCCCAAATATTGCAAACAAATAATAAAAATCAAAAATAGAAAATACACCAAATCACAAATATCATAAAACGACAATACAAAAGGAAAATGATAAATTTAGATTTAATCACTACATTGGTAAAAAAAGAGAAGTTCATTTGAATTTAAATTGGAAAATAAAAAATTCAAAGCTAATCATTCAATCTTCTCATATGTCCAGATCCATGCCTCCAATAATTGTCAAAAGTGTCCATAAATGCCCCATAGTGAAATCCTAAATAGATTGGTGTTCAAGTTTGGATGTAGTTGACACAGCTATAGAAATTTTTTGGCCAAATAGTGTTCTCTTGTTCAAAATCTTGCAGATTCATGAATTTGAAAGGCCTTTGTGAAAAAAAAACCTATGATTCGAGCATCATCATCATCAAGCCTTATCCCAACTATTTCGGGTTGGCTAGACAAATCTTGTTCTGCGATTCTGCTCTATCAAGGCTCATACCCTCAATCAGACCGTAAGCCAACATATCTCTTTTCACCACTTCCATCCATATCCTTTTGGCCTTGCCCTTTTGGAGCCTTCCACTTGAACCAAATCACCCTCCTAACCGGTATTGTTCTAAGTCAACGTTGCAATTAGCTTGACCACGTAAGTCTATTTTCTTGATCTTATCGCCTATTCAAGCTACCCCTACGTTCCCTCAGATGTATTCATTCTGAATTCTATCCTTTCTTTTCTTGCCCCTCATCTATCTCAACATCTTCATCACAGCTACATTCATTCTATAAATATGTTGTTTCTTGACACCTAACATTATGTCCCATAAACTTATAATGTCATAAAGATATCAAAAATAGTCTTAGATAAATGACTTAAATCAAAACCGAGCTAGGGAAGCTTTCAAACCAATTTTTTTAAAAACGAATAGGGGGGGAGGCTGCTCACCCATTGATCCCGATCAGAATCATCACGATCAGCAATTCGGTAACATTGAAAAAAAAACAAAAGAGAGAGAGAGAGAGAGAGAGAGAGAGAGAGAAAATAGATAAACTAAAACTTAGAGGAATAAATTATTCGAGCGTTAAAAATTCGAACCTCGAACCCAATGCTTCACAAACCTATGCAATAGCCACTAAGGCCATTTGTATTTTATGATAAAGGAAAAAGCTAACAAACACTTGGCAACTATAATGGATAGTAATATAGGTGGAATCCCAACCGTTAGATCATTATCGGGTGGTTCAAAACATATATCACTATCTGAATTTTAAACTTTTTTTTAGAAATCGGATCGTGACAAAATTTTGGGTATTATACTAAAAACTAGGACGTAGAAGAAAAAAATTAAAACAATTATTTTTCAAAATATAAAATGACCAAAATATCTCTGAAAAATGATGGGGCTAATTTGGTCATTTTCAACTCTTAATAGTATTTTCTTTATATTTTTATATGGTGCGCAATGATGTCAAGTATATACACCCAAAATTTCATATCAATCTGATTTATAGAAAAAAGATTAAAATTCAGATAGTGATATGTATTTTGAACGATCCAATGGAGATCTAACGGCCGAGATTCCACCTATATTATTATTCATTATAGCTGCCAAATGTTTGGTAGCTTTACTCTATGATAAAATGATCACATATTATATATTATATCAATGTCGAATCACCGATTCCCTCCAAGAATTGGCACAATGCCTATCAATACCCAATTCGGTTCAGTGTTTCCCAATGAATAGGCGATTATTTAATCACTGTTTTGAACTTTAGAAAAACCCAAAATTTTCAATCTCTCAAAACCAATATTCTGATTTTCTTTCTCAAATCTGATTTATTCAATGGATAAAGGTTGCAAAAGATGTAAAAACAACCCTAGACACAATCTCACGTCAATCCAAATCTTTGTTGAAGAGATATGAGCAAAAAGACGATTCAGTGGCGTAACTAACTACAATGAGACTCTCGAGAGGTTTTATGGAGGTACATATAGTCGGGGTATACTTGGGCAAGTTATTGTAGCAACTCACCAAAGTATTGTGGAAATTCAGTGAATTTTTGTGCAAGCTTCGATTTGGAATGCTTAAGGAAGCTTTAGTCTGCCTCAATTTTTTAGTAGACCTCAATTTTTAAAATTCATATCCATATTTTTTCCATGTTGCACACTACCTTTTACAATTTTTTAAATTTCCATTTTTTTATTCTTTTAATTTATGAATTTCATATCCTGAACACTCAAGACTTGTTTCGGGCTTCTTTGGTGACTCAAGGTGAACTCGAGTCAGGGACTCTGAATCTCTTGAGTAGCTCGGACTGCAAGCGGCAAAGTTTTATCCCTGAGCCGCTTTTGAAGCATGGGTGTTGACAGACTCGCCAAGTCTGTTAGAAGCCGCCTAGTCACTAACAACTTGCCCAAGTTACTACAGTAACTCAGGCGAGTTTGTGTACAACCGCCCCCCCTGCCTGAAGAGGGCGGGGTTCTGGGCTCTACTAGGTGCTGTGCCCAAATGAGTTTCGTGAGTCCAAGCGGACTTGTCAGAGTTTTCCAGCACTAGTTTTCACTAATATTTGTTTGGAATGTGTTTTTTGGAATTGAAGAAATTTCATGTATTTCATGCTTAATGCCCTTAATCATATGTGTAAGGCACGTGTAATAAACTACCACTTCAGAAATTAAGCCATTGATACTTGCTACTTGATGCCACTAAAGGCATGTCAATGATTGCAATTTACAGAATTACAGAGCAAGTCTATGACAAGCAAGATGGAAACATCAACGAGGAGCAGACATTGTCAAAACAAAGTGCTTTCCAATTAATTAATTAATTAAAAGTACTCTTTTTTGCTTTATTGCTAAATACATAAAATCCAAATAAATGTACAACTGGGCATACAAATATAGATCAGAATTTTCGCAAAGCCTACAAATGGATCCAAGAGAGCAGGCAAGAGATTATACATCAGGTGAGTAAAAATGAATAAAGCAAAACACGTAGCTGAAAATGATTCAAAAAGATGATAAAAAGGAGTAGATAATCAAAATAAGCGCAAAAAACATGAAGGCAGAAATTATATGAGAACAGAAGTAATCAAGATCAGAAAACAAAAACCCTAAAAATATTATAGTGGGTGAAGCAAGCAAATTCGTCAGATAAAACAGAACATGCACTCTGTTGATTATTTACAGTATTTAAAGATCCAACCCATTTTTAACATTTTCAGAAGATCGAACCCTTAAAGGCGCAATCCAATGAAAACAAATTCAGGGAACCACCCGGTCTGCTAAATCCAAACACTAAGGGGGTGTTTGATAACTTACTTGTAGTATCACTAGGAAATTCCCGGCTACTAGGTTTCCTGAAAACGAGGAGGAAAATGAAATAGGTAGTCTGAAAGATGGCAACCCTATTTGTCACCTATCTAGATTCCCTGGTGCTGGCAGTTTCTCCTCTTTGATAATGGGGAAAGCAATATTTTTTTTTTTTAATAACCCAACCAATCCATAAAAATTCATGTTGCTCAAAATTCATAATAACCATTACATATATAAAAAGAAAATAAAAAAATTACCCACAAGATAGGGTGGGGACCACAAGTGGAAGTGGGAGCTTTCAAAATCAAATGTTGACAGTTCAAACTAAGGTTACCAAAAATTTAAAATAACACAGCCCTTATTATGCACCTTACAAATATGCAAATTAAGTGTTTACAAACCAGGGCCGATACAATCCATCAAATCACATTACTATAGCAACATATTCAGCTATCACACTTAGAATCAAAATGAGCTCATATTAGATCAATTGCGCAGCTAATCCACAGCACATTCTGTAACTACAAATATTCAAAAGGACAACTCATTATGCATAAGCCGAAAAAAAGGGTGAACATAGCCAATAAGCATTACCATGCCTACGATAAATATGTTATTGGTTCTCATTATCTAACTACAATCCTATACAAGCTAAGGAGGATCAAAATATCATTTATTTCCTTCATTTCAAATAAATTTCTCAGTAGATTCTGGCAAACAGATCAACACAAGACTTAAGGAAATCAAATAGAATAACTTAAAGAATGATAGAATAAAATGAGCAAAAAAATGAACTCTGACCAAAATGAGCTCATATTAGATCCATTGTGCAGCTAAACTGCAGCACATTTTGTAACTACAAATATTCAAAAGGACTAACTCATTATGCATAAGCTGAAAGAAAGGGTGAACATAGCCAATAAGCATTACCATGTCTACGATAAATATGTTATTGGTTCTTTGTTATCTAACTACAATCATATACAAGCTAAGGAGGATCAAAATATCATTTATTTCCTTCATTTCAAATAAATTTCTCAGTGGATACTGGCAAACAGATCAACACAAGACTTAAGGAAAGCAAATAGAATGACTTAAAGAATGATAGAATAAAATAAGCAAAAAATAAACTCTGACCCAATAAAATTGCTTCATTATTGTGAAAACACTATCTGGAAATAAAAACATGTTATAACTGGTAACCCATTTTTATTTTTCTTTTTCTTTTTTTTTTTCTTTTTTTTCTTTTTTTTCTTTTTTTTTCTTTTTTTTCCTTTTTTTCCCTTTTTTTTCCTTTTTTTTCGTTTTTTTTTTTTTTAAAGTGTTCAGTTTGTAGTAAAGGAGATGTGAGTACAAGTATACAAAAAATAGGCTACCCACAATCCGGGAGCACCATACACAAGAAATGACTTCCAACATACTGGGAGCTCAAACTAAAACCACCGAGAGGGTGGTAGGTACAATGCTAAGGCAGAAATGGTAGGGGTAGGAACCCCTAGAGAACAGTAGTGAGCTGAGTCGCAAAAGATACTCAGTCACTATTTGCTTGATATGTGATAACTGGTAACTTGAACTTGCTTGATATGATATTAAATCCTATCCAAATCAGCCAATTCAAGATGAACTGTATGCTTTAACAAAATCAACAAGAAATATGAGATCAAAAAAATCCAAAAAATAGATGTTTCCATAGCAAGCATTATCTTGATAAAAGTCTTTTAATTTGTAATACGCGATGATTCAACACATGCCATTTTGCCGTTCTACAAGAAATAGAAACGATGGCTTTTTCTAACTCTTTTGTAACACCAGTGTACCTTCGAGATATAAACACAAACCAGTTCACAACTCCCAACTGTTGGGAAAACCAGTTAAATCAGTTTCACATGTACTATAGATATAGCGATGAGATGAAATACATGAGGAGCCCGTGACCTATAGTAGATACACATGGAGACAATTTAATGAACCATGACAAGATAGAACTCACAATAAACTAAGTAACTAACTTACAGTACACACCCTATGCATGATATCCAACCTAATGATATTCAAGTGTTGTAACCAGAGAAGAAACTCAAGACTATTATTGTTAAAGATAGTGGACTCACGTGAAGACTGAGCCAAGTTGAGCCAGCACGTGGATATGTGCGTACTATTCAAGCTTTAGTATTTCTGAATTAGAAAAAGATTAAAAAAAACAGCAATTTTTCAAAGGAAAAAAAAAAGACAAAAATAACCAAAAAGACAACATTATAATCACAAACAAACAAATAAAGAACCAGAAAAACCAGGGATGCAAGTCCGCTTCAATTCTAACCCGATTACTCAATCACACAAGAATTGTATCTTTCAATCCCTAAAATAAATTCCCATACAAGCTCTCCAAACCAAATATCTCAGTCACTAAGCTAGCCCAAAGAAAAGCAGAAATAAAAGGTACGAGCAAGATTAAACAAGAAAAATTAGAAGAGAGCATAATGAGAAGACACAAGTAATGAAATAGAAGGAAATCATGGCACACAATTGTTTTTTTTTTCTTTTTCTTTTAAAGAAAAGAATGTCTAAAAAAAACCATTAAACTTGTAGGTTCACATTTCAGTTACAACTTACAAACCTCATGCACAATTTTCTTTTCAATAATAGCCAGATTTAAAAAAATCCACTGAAATTTTCAAAGAGAAACGCTACAAGAGTTAAAGGCACAGCAAGCTTCCAAAAAATAATCCAAGGAAGCTTTCCCAAATTATTTTAACATATTTTCAGCAAGATAAGGCAACAATATAAAACTCTACCAAGATGCAAGGCAAGCAAACTCTCTAAGTCGCTTTAACAGATTTTCGGCTAAACCTGGTACTTGAAGCATTTTTTTCAAAAAATTTCATAAAACCACAATAATTTAAAGAAGGAAATGTATAAAATGAGACCATTTACTTTTGATACAAGGATGTTACAATCATCATTGACCGTTAGATTTGAAATTGGGTGGTTAAGGATGTGTCATTCAAAGTTCAAAATAAAATTTCTTGAATGTTGCGACCCACTTTAATCTATTGGATTTCACATCCAATGATCAAAAGTGATTGTGACCTCCTTATACCAAAAATAAATGGTCTCATAGTATAAATCCTTTTAAAGAATACAGCATGTAACATGCTCAGATTTAGGTGTTAAAAAAAAACTACCAGTCATATAAAAAGAAAACAAAAGCTATAACTATTTTTTTATCAGAAAAAATTAGCTTCAATCATTGAAGAATTGATCATACACTAAAATACAGAGACCACAAAAGCAATAATTCATCACAAGAAATACAGAAACCCATGAAAGTAAGAATTTACAATCCATGAAGAGAGAGAGGAGAGGGGAAAAGGAAGAATCATGAGTGCAAATTAGGGTTACCTTCATGGGAGCATAGCATACAAGGAAGGGAGAAGAAAGGTTGGGTTTCTAATTTTATTAGGAGCCATAGAAAAAAAGATGTGATCTTCTCTCTCTCTCTAAAACATGACCTTTAGAGAGAGAAAAAAAGGTTTTTAGCTAGAAAAGAAGTCTCCATTTTTGACAGGTGCTCTCTCGGAAACCCCGGACCAACAGGAGTGAGAGGGGTCTTCAGAGACCACCATGGAAACATTCTGGCCTCTTTCTCCAAGTACATTGGCCACGCCGACTCCCAGCTAGCCAATTCTACGGCACTGCTCTCTGGACTCAAGATGCTTGACCCCGCGTGGGGACAACCATTGATTGTTGAAGGAAACACCCAAAACAGTATCACTGGGGCTACTAGCATTGCTCTTACCCCCTAGTAGACGACATCATGCACATTTGCAAGGATATGGCCATCTTATGGAAGCATATCTAGAGGGAATCAAACGCCCTGGTGGACCAACTGGCTAAGGATGGAGCGGCTTCAAGTGTCGTGGGTTCATAAGAGCTCGGCGTTTTTTGGCTCCCTATGTATTTGGGTCCTATCTTTAAAGGCCTTTTGGACTCTCGCGACCCTGGGCTTCTTATTTTTTGTACACTCAATGTATTGAGCAACTGTTTTAAGCCCCACCCATTTTTTGTATAGGGCTACCCTCTAAGGAGAAGCCTATCTTTTGCTAAGAGGCCCGGCCTGTGGGCCCTCTCGACGGACCACTGTAATCTTTTACTTCTTTTAATCCAACAGTTAACAGCATCAAAAAAAAAAACAAGTCTCCATTTTCAACCATATATCATGAACAAAGTCATTCTTGAGAAGAAGAGAAAGCTTGGACTTAAACATAGAATTGAAAAGCTAAATGTATGTGCCAACATAGACAGAGAATATCGAAGATTAGAATGGAAGTTAGACATGCTAGTTCAAGAGAGAAATGTTAGACATGCTAGTTCAAGAGAGAACCAATCCACTTGCAACGATGATAGAATGGAAGTCCTCACCTCCCCTTTCCCTCTTTCTCCTCTCTCTAGGGTGTGTATGATAACTTTCTTTGCAGTTTCCCCAAGAAAATCCCGGCTGCTGAATTTCTTAGAAACTGTTACAAATGTGAAAATTGGTAACCTGACTATCTTCACATCATTCTTCACAGATTCATGATGAACTTGAAAGGAACATATTCATCAGATAAACATGTACAAGAGACATGAAGGAGAAGAAAATTTACAAAAGGCAGAGACCAATG